CTAAACTCCTTCTTGAAACCTTGTAAGCCAGTCACTTTGTGCCTTTATCGCCCCCTCATTTTAGGTAACCAATGTCTAAGTTGCCCGTCCCTATCTACCCTGTGTACGGAGGGGATAGCATTGATACTTGATGTAAAGACTCTTTTCCCTCTTTGTTGGTATTTAGAGTAACTACCGCCCTGAGTATAAGGAGCTCTGGTAGTATAGTGATTACGAATCAGGTTGTGAACCACAGGGTCAGCAGTTTGAAACTACCAGCTGTTCATGGGAAAGAGTGGAGGCTTTCTGCTCCCGTAAGGATTTACAGCCTCAGAAACCCTATACAGGGTCGCTATGAGTTGGAACCGACTCCATGGCACTTAACCAACACAACCACCACCACTCTGAGTATAGGTCAGGTTCAACAAATTGTAGCAATTTACCTTTGTTTCCTTTGTCAGAAAAAAAAAATTTTTTTTTTTTCAATCTTCCTCTAGTCGAGTTCTGATTATCGAGCCATCAAGGCTAGGTCAAAAGGGTACTGTATGCAAGTCTGGGTGTTCTTGTGTATCTCCCCTCACTTCATATCAGCTGGATGCTTCACTTTCAGCTCTAGCCCTCTATGGCTTAGTTCTTGTCCATGGTCTCAAGTATCCTCAGGTCTCACCACACTTTGGACCAACCAACCCTTCCTCTTCTCTCTATCATCTCCAGGTCAACGGGATTCAATGGACTGGGGTGGAACTCAACCCATTTCTTCATTGATGCCTTTCTGCCTCTTCCACTCACTAGTAGACCAATGTGGTCACCAGCAAGCTTACATGCTTGTTTGTGTATTTCCTTTGAGTTTCAGTCTTAGAGGGGAGTTTGTCCTGAAGCACTTGATTGCTAGCCTTGGTGTCTTCCTGGCGAACAGCTAGCTTATTCTTGTTATTTGTCTTTTTCTTGTAGAGGTGTTGTAGTTTCCTATATATTTTAGAAATGAGTCCATTATCTGATGTGTCATTGCAAAAGATTTTTTCCATTCTGTGGGTTCCCTTTTTACACTTTTGTTGAAGTCTTTTGATGCACATAAGATTCTTATTTTAGTATGTCCCAATCATCTATTTTGTCTACTTTTGTTTGTGTAATTTTCAAAATGTTGGGTAGTGTTTGTATGCCCTGAATTAGTGCCCTCACGTATTTGTCCCTGTTTTTTCATTGATGACCTTCATAATTTGGGGATTCACATTTAGGTCTTTAATCCATGCTGAGTTGTTTTTTTTATACGACATGAGGTAAAGGTCTTGTTTCAATCTTTTGCATATCACTTTCCAGTTCTGCCCGCACCATCTGTTAAAGAGACTATTTCCTCCCCATGCAATATGCCTAGGCACTTTGTAAAAAATCAGTTGGCTGTATGTGGATGTGTTAATTTTTGGATTCTCAATTCTGTTCCATTGATCAATGTATCTTTCATTGTACGAGTACCAGGCTGTTTTGACCACTGTAGCCATGTAGTACAATTTGAAATTGGGGAGTGAGAGAGAGGCCTCCAACCTTGTTCTTCTTTTTAAGCAGTGCTTTGCTTATCCTGGGTCTCTTTCCGTACAGTGTTTGTAATTGTCTTTTCCATATCTTTGAAGAATGTTGTTGGAATCTAGATTGGGATTGCATTATATGTATAAATTGCTTTGGGCAGTATTGACATTTTCACAATGTTGAATCTTCTTATTCAGGAACATAGTATGTTCTTCCACTTCTGTACGTTTCTTTTGGTTTCTTGTAGTAGTGCTTTATAACTTTCTTTGTACAGGCCCTTTGTTTCTCTGGTTATGTTTATTTCTAAATATTTCATTTTTTGGGTGGCTATTGTAAATGGTATTTCTTTCCTAATGTTCTTTTCAGTGCTGTCATTATTAGTATAGAGGAATCCAACTGATTTTTGTATGTTGCTCTTATACCTTGCCACTTTATTGAATCTTCCAAAGATGTCTAGTAGCTTTTTTACTGAGTCTTTGGGGTTTTCTATGTATAGGATCATATTGTCTGCAAATAGCGACAGTTGTATTTACTCTTTTCCAGTTTGGATGCCTTTAGTTATACCTCTGGCTAAGTCTTCCAAAATAATATTGAATAGGAGTGGTGACAAAGGGCATCCTTGTCTGGTTCCCGTTCACAGAGGGAAGGCTTTCAGTTTCTCTCACTGAGAGTGATGAAGGCTGTTGGTTTTGTATATATGCTCTTGATTATGTTGAGGAATTTCCCTTCAATTCCTACTTTGTTGAGTGGTTTTATCAGGAATGAATGTTGGATTTTGTCAAATGCCTTGTCTGCATCAATCAATATAATCATGTGGTTCTTTTCCTTTTTCTTATTTAAATGGTGGATTACATTGATTGTTTTTCTAATGTTGAACCCAATAAGTACTTTTAAAGAATAAATCCAAAAGGCTACATATTTGAAGTTCAGATAAAAGCACATTCCGACGGTCACAACTGTAAAGGTATAAGTCTTATAACAAAAAGGGAGGTGTAGTTAATCTTACAATCCAGGAACAGAGAACTCTAGGACCATCAAGGAAGAAGAACATGAGCAGAATGTTTTACCTTATCTAGAGAAGCAGTGACACCAGAAATGGAGGCAGAGATGAGGACATGGAGAGACAGAGCAGCTGAGGACTTTAGACTCATGGAAAGAGGAAGGCTATGTGCTGGAGGCCAGGAGGCAGCCTTGTAGAATGTTCCCTTTGGCTGTTTAAATTATTATATATTCCTTAGTGTTTTTGTGTACATCCCCTCCAAAAAACAACAAGAACAAAAAACAGGGAATAGAAACAAATACTGTTGAATGATGATGCACGGAGGAGATTGTAATCATTGCAATGACACAATGATTGTAAAACTGATGCTCTCCCATGTAAATTATCAGTCAACTCACAACAAAAACTTAAAAAAAAATTTTTTTTTAAAGCACATTCTGAGGAAATGTAGCAGCCCATAAGTAAGCAAAATCAAATGTCACCACATCAATGCCAGGTTTGTTATTATCATGAAACAAAATGTGTATATATTGTTGAGTGGAAAACGAATTTGCATTGTAAACTCTCACACAAACTCCAAAATGTAAAATAAAAAGGGGGAAAGAAAGAAGCAGGCAAAGCCTCTGGAATATGTCTGATTTTTTACCTGATGCCTGAGGCGATTCTCTCTTAATCCAGGAATTCAGAAAGTGTTCTCCCTGATGAAAATAAAAATTCAAGTGATTGACTATTTGATTTCTAAACTACATACCTATCTATAAACAAGAACTGAAGGGACTTCTAAAAAAGAAAAAATTTCGTTGGATGGAGTGGCAGGATTGTTGAATAATCATCCTTTTATCCATCAATGTTAGAATTTTGCTTATGTAATGGAAAAAAAAAAAAAAAGAGTGACTATTTCCCTAGACCCTAGGAAGAAGAAGCTTTCTCATGGTCACTTTTTCCAGAGACTCATTACAGAAAAAGAAAGCTATGTAGATATCACAGATGTGCTTTGACTAATGAGGAAGTGAGAGACAGAAGGGTTGGTCCTTCTCCTATAATTGCACTCAGATTTCTTCCTCAGGAGACACTCCTCCCCTACTCTGAGTCCTTGTTCTCAGGACTGGGGGTGAGGGGAGTGAGAGGGTGAGGAGGGTAGGGTGGGACTATCCATCTGCAGGGTTCTGGTCTTCTGAATCAATTTAATCAATAAATTCAACTCAATCTGGGTTGAATTTCCTATAGATTGCCACTGAGGAAATCCTTACTGATACAAAATTAAGCAACCAGCTCAGAGGCACCAGCTGAGAAGGCTTTGGTCAGAACACGTCATCCAGACATTCAAATGGGGCATCTTGGGGAGACAGCCTCAATCAGAGAGGTCAAGACTAGCAGGAGAGGCAGATAGAACTAATCAAAAGCAAGCCCTGGAAAAGGAAATTCTAAGAACTGGTGATGCTATAGAATAAGCACTGGACTGCTGACCACAAGGTCAGCAGTTCAAACCCACCAGCTGCTCCTCAGAAGAAAGATAAGGCTTTCTGTTCCCCTGAAGATTTACAGCCTCAGAAACCCTATACAACCTCACTATGAGATGTAATTCTCTAGAGGGCAGTTGTTTAAGGGCCCTACCTTAGCAAGAAAATGTGATTTTTTCCCCCCACTATGTTATGGGTCGGTACTGACTCGATGGCACCTAACAACAACAATGTTAAATGGGGTGGGGATGGGGGAACATGAGTATGAAAGAAGGGAAGAAGAGTAGAGAGGGACAGAAATGTCTTCTTCCTCCTATTTCAGACATTACTGGTATGTTGCTGTGTGCAATTGTGTTGGTTCCAATTCATAGTGACCCTGTATAGGGTTTCTGACAAGTGGCTGATGGATTTGAACCACTGACCTTGCAATTCAAGCAAGCTGGCGATCCAGTATTTATCCTACAACACCACACCAGACTCCATCAAATATTGCTAGGTAGTAAAAATTACCGTTACGTCAACAAATCCTTTGTAGCTTTGAATATACTGGGTAGTTTCCTCTGAGGATTTCTTGCTTTGAAGAAATTTACATCTGCAATTAAAAAAACAAGATTAAAATTTACCCTAATACTGTGATGGAAATATCCTATATCAGAATTGTATTGGAGATTGCACAATGAGCATTTGTTAAAATGTATTAAATTGTATACTTATAATTGGTGAATTTTATTATAATTCAATAAAACTTAAAATTTACCCCAAATTTTATTTATAAGAATTATTAGTCTCGTATAATTTACGATGAAATCTTCAGATTATCTTCTCTCATGAAATAAAATACATAATACAATCAAAGACTGTAATATACAGTAGTGTAGAAGGTGACATTTTGTTGTTTTTAATTTTTTTTCCTTTTATTTTGGGGCTGGATATGAGTAAGGAGTTAAGAGTTAAAACCATGGCTAGGTCTAGGTAAGGTCTAGGATTTCATTAAATGTTAGGGTTATGGAGTTAGAGTTAAAACCATGGCTAGGTCTAGGACTTCATTAAGTGTTAGGGTTATGGTTAAGACTAAAGTTAATAGGGATAAGGGTTGGCCTAGGGTTAGGTCTAATTTTAGGGTTACTTTTAGATTTTTTATTTTATTTTTTTCTTGAAATATGCTTGATTTCCCCTTGAAGATGTGTAACAACATTGTTCCCTTTTTTTCTCTTATGTTTTGTTGTTGTCATTGCTGCAATCTGACGTCTCTGATTCCATATTTTTAATCTTCTAGGTTGTTTCCCCTCCCTATGTTTGTTTTTAAGGAGCTCTGGCTGCTAATCTAAAGGTCAGCCGTTTGAAACTACCAGCCATTTCACAGGTGAAAGACAAGCCTTTCTGCTCCTGTAAAGATTTACAGCCTCTGGAACCTTATGCAGTATCACTATGAACTGACGCCATGGCACACCACCACTACTACCAGGTTTATTTTTGGAGTTGTAGAATAAAGCAAGATTGGAGGAAAACTCATTAACAACCTGCGATATGCAGATAATACAATCTTGCTTGATGAAAGTGAAGAGGACTTAAAACACTTACTGATGAAGACCAAGGAGCACAGCCTTCGGTGTGGATTGCATCTCAATGTAAAGAAAACAAATATCCTCACCACTGGACCAATAAACAACACTTATCAACAGAGAAAAGATTGAAGTTGTTATTCTTCTTGGATCAACCATCAAAACTCATGGAAGCAGCAGTCAAGAAATCAAACGATGTATTGCATTAGGCAAATCTACTGCACAAGATCTTTTTAAAGTGTTGAAGAGCAAAGATGTCAGCTTGAGGACTAAAGTATGCCTGACCCAAGCTATGATATTTTCAATAACCTCATATGCATGCAAAAGCTGGACAGTGGATAAGGAAGACCATAGAAGAATTGATGCTTTTGGTGTTGGAGGAGAATATTGAAAGTGCCATGGGTTGCCAAAAGAACAAACAGATCTATTTTGGAAGAAGTGTAGCCAGAGTGCTCCTTGGAGGCCAAGATGGCCAGACTTTGTCTCTCATACTTCGGACATATTGTCAGGAGGGAGCAGTCACTGGAGAAGGATATGTTTGGTAAGGTGGAGGGTCAGAGAAAAAGAGGAAGACCCCCAGCGAGATGGATTGGCATCAATGGGCTCAAGCTTGGCAACAATTGTGAGGTTGGACTAGGACCAGGCAGTGTTTCCTTCTGTTGTATGTAGGGTCGCTATGAGTCAGAATCGACTCGATGGCACTTAACAGCAACAACAAACAGGTTTGTTTTACTTTGAACACTTCTAAATCTGGGTTGAGTTCAGGGTGATACTGTCATGTATTTTAGTCTCAGGTTGTTATCAGCTGTTGTTGGTTCTCCAAAGAATTCCCTTTAGCTTTTTTTTTTTTCTTTTAAGTTAGTTTGGGTTTTGCAAATTCTTTTAATTTCTGTTTATCTGGAAATGTCCTAATTTCAGCATTACATTTGCTGGACAGTTTTACTGTGTATATGATTCTTGTCTGGCAAACTTTTTCTTGCAGAGTTTTATGTATGTCATCCCATTTTCTTCTTGAACTGCTTGTATGGTTTCTGCTGAGCTTAGTTTTACTATTTCTACCTTGCAGGTCCAGTGGTGAGGGTTTTTGTTTTCTTGACATTGAGATGCAATCCATACCGAAGGCTGTGCTCTTTGATCTTCATCAGGAAATGTTTCAAGTCCTCTTCACTTTCAGCAAGCAAGGTTGTATCATCTGCATATCGCAGGTTGTTAATGAGTCTTCCTCCAATCCTGATGCCACACTTTTCTTCATATAACCCAGCTCCTTGGATTATTTGCTCAGCATACAGGTTGAATAAGTATGGTGAAAGAATACCACCCTGTTGCACACCTTTCTTAATTTTAAACCATTCAGCATTCTCATGTTCTGTTCGAACAACTGCCCCTTGGTTCATGTGCAGATTCCTTATGAGCACAACTATACTTCGCAATGTTGTCCATAGCTTGTCATGATCCACACAATTGAAAGCCTTTGCGTAGTGAATAAAGCACAGGCAAACACCTTTCCGGTATTCTCTGCTTTCAGCCAAGATCCATCAGACAACAGCAATGATATCCCTTGTTCCATGACCTCTTCTGATTTTGGCTTGAACCTCTGGAAGTTCTTTGTCAATGTATGATTGCAGCTGTTTTTGTATTACCTTTAGTAAAACTTAACTCACATGGGATACTGAAGATGATTTCTACATTCTGTTGGTTCACCTCTCTTTGGAATTAGCACAAATATGGATCTCTTCCAATCAGTCAGCCATCAGATAGTTGTCTTCCAAATTTCTTGGCATAGATGAATGAGTGCCTCGATGCTGCCTCACTTTCTTGAAAGATTTCCATTTGTATTCCACCAATTCCTGGTGCCTTGTTCTTTGCCAATTCCTTCAATGCACCTTGGACTTCTTCCTTCAGTATCATTGGCTCTTGATCATATGCTACCTCTTTAAATTGTTGAACAGCAACCATTTCCTTTTGGTACAGTGACTCTGTATATTCCTTCCATCGTCATTTAATGCTTTCTGCATCATTCAATAATCTGCCCAGAGAATCCTTCACTAATGAAAGTGGTTATTGAAGTACTTTAGGAAGTAATAAAATACTTTGGATGTAGATTCTATTTCCATCAATTTTTAGAAAAGACAGATACATCATTTTTTGACATAATCTCCTTGCTTTTCTACACTTTGTCAATTTGTCAACTTATTTTTGCATTCCGTTTTTAAAAAAATGTTTTAGGCTGAGCTGTGAGCCACAAATGCACCACTGTCTTCATTTCTTCACCAGAGGTGAATCTTCATTCCCAAAGGGCTGCTTTCAGGGGGCTAAACAGGTGAAAGTCCCATGGAGCAAGATTGGGACTGTAGGATGCTTTAAAACCTCGAAATGAAGTTTTTGCAGAGTATCAACAGTGAGGCAGAGGTGTTTAGACATGCATTGCCATGCAAGATCACAATTCCTTTGGGTAGCAGTCTTTTTCCTTTAATCAACAATTAAGACTTAGCATCTCACTGTAAGGAGCACTATTGGTTTTTTAACCTTTTTCCTGATAGTATTCCAACACTGGTCCTTGAGTGTTCAGCTGATGGCTGACTTTTGAACTTTTTCTTGGTTGACAATTGAGGATGTCTCCATTCCATCCTCTGCCTTTTTTACTCCCAGGTTTATAGTGATGAATCCATGTCTTATCATCAGTAATGATTTTTTTAAAGAAACTTTCAGCTTCCTTTGTGTATCGGTACAAATTTTGTTTGCAGACGTCCAAATGCTTCTTTAAGCTCTTCCATGAGTTGTTTCAGTACCCATATCACATCAGCTTTTAGAAACCCAAGTCTGTCGTGGATTATTTTATAGGCAGAGCCATGGCTGATTGGCAAATGATTTACCACATAATTCACTGTCACTCATCTATTCGAGAGAATCACTTTGTATGCACGTTCAATGTTGTCATCGGCCATAGATGTGGATGTTGTTGTTGTTGCTGTCAGGTGCCATCGAGTCGGAACCGACTCATAGCAACCCCATGTACAGCAGAACGAAACAATGTCTGATCCTGGGCCAACCTCACTACCGCTGCCACACTTGACGCCATCAATGATGCCAC